CGAGGTAAGAAAGAGTAAGAAGCCAAATTAAAAAACAACAAATAAGACTTACATCTGTTGGCAATTCTAGCTCCTCATTGGAATAATTGTGATTTATTTCAAGTAAATCCTTTGGGAAATATCCAAAATCACTTCCAACCTGCCAGAAAACAAACACAAGCAAACAAAAAGCAGTAAAGAAAATTTCGAAATCACGTGACTATGCTAAAATCTTAATTACAGACACTAGTAACAAACACGTCAAACTCGCTCTCAAGTATTTCAAGACGAAGTCTAACACAGTGAATAAAAGAAAAAGATCAGCAAAACCTTGTTTATGCAAGAGTTTTCATTGAGGCTTTACACTTACGTTTCACAACACCCTTGTAAAGTTGGTAAAGTTTCACTGTTCATGTTTTAAACCTTGATTTATAACAAATTATTAGGAGAGCTGGGAGTGACACCGAGGCATTCTGGCTCGTGTGCTTTAACTGCTATTGTGTGCCCTCCCTGGCACCACGTATGCTTCAAGTATTTTTCTCAAGTAATTAGCCAAAGATCCTCTTCTGCTTACAAGATTTACATCCATGCACAATATTATAGCCTGAAATATGCTCACTTTGTAGCTTAAGTTTAAAAAAAAAAAAGTAATTCTTAAAGCAGATTTTAGGAAAATGCTAAATTGTACCTGAGGTAATAATCTATTTTAAAACCTGTGTGAAAAATACATCCCTGTTGCAAATGCAGTGTTGCTCATCTGTGCCTAATACAAGCAAAAATCAGCTGCAGATGGCTATTTTCAAGCAAGTCAGCGTGCGAAGCCAAGGCAAACAGTAGAAGACAAGAATCTCTCTTATCACTCACCGGATAAGATCTACATAGTAATGCTCTCACTTGAGAGTTCTGACAACACCTGTCAAGAAGCCAATATTAATAGCATGCTATCACTATGCAGATTAGATAATCCACCCAATTGGAACCTGGTGGACATACCTAGAAAGGTACAGAGTTCCTAGACAGCCAAAATATCCGGGGGGAGGGGGGGGGGGAAAAAAAAAAAAAAAAAAAGCATTGGTTATTTCCTCAATGTTTTGTTGTAGGAGAAAGATGACAATTGCCAATTTTCTTGAAGAGTTTGTTTGGGTAGAGCACTCAGTTAAAGATCAAATTAAGATGGAAACCAGTTATGTTAAAACAATCAGGGATATTTTCTGAATTTACAATGGAATAAAAAAAAAAAGAGGAAAATTGTATCCAGTAAATAATATGTCCTAATACTTTTCATTTGGTTGGTTTTTGTTATGCAAGCGAAGTAAGCTCTGATACATTATAAGGCTTCCTTGTTAAACTATTTCTCATTCAAATCTTATCTTCCATAATTGATATCTCTGAAGTTAGTTACACATATATTAAAAAAAAAATACCTTCCCACCTTCTGTAAACATATGGAGATACTCTCTTCCATAAGAGAGAGAACGTATGCGGGTTTCTAATTGGGAATTACTGGGAATGGGAAATGAAACTAGACAAGTCAAATCATAAGCTTGTCCTTGTGCAGTATACTACAGTTTTACTCTAAACTGGCCTGTTTCCCTCTACAAACCTCTATTCCAACTTTAATTGACCTATCTGAAAACGAAAGCCAAAGCTTCAAAGTAGCCTCCTTACAGACTAATCTCCATGACTACCATTATAATTAGGCATCACAATTTGAAACTCATTTAGTGTAGTCCAAGCTGCTGACCATACAAGTCCTCTGCAATGACCCAGTTTGCCACTTACGTGGTTTATGAGCCATATGGGATCTGCACGCCCAAAATTTCATCTGCCCCTCTCCTTACAAGTCCTCTCTTGTAAGGGAAAAAAATGCTTCATTGTGCAAATAAAGGAAACATTCTTCATTCTCTACAGACATGACAGAGGAAAGGCATTATAAATGCCAAGTAAATAAGGGAGAAAAAAGTGCATCCTTCATTTCCATTCTGCTCCTGGCTAAAATGCCATGGGTGGATGAAACACATGGCTGTGTTGTGTGTACAGCATCTGTCCCCACGTGTGAGTCAGCTGCAGCAGGTTCACCGACCACCACTGACCAAGAAGCCAGACCCTCACACCACCTACCTCAGTGACAGAAAACAAGACAGCTGGGAAAGAAGATGTTCAAATGTTTTTAATCTTAAAGCCCACATCTCTAAAGCACAGGCACCACAGGCAACCTAAAACTGCAGAACGTTGGTCAAAGAAGGGTTGGTTTGGCCTGCCCTTGCTGAGTGCTGCCATTGTTAAGGAAACACAGAAACAAGAGGAAAAAATTCCCTGATCCCCCTGGGCCCTCCAGCATACTCTGTCTTCCTATCTTAAATTTACATCTCCTGTCTTCCTTATTATTACCTTATGTATAAGATTTGAAAGCAAACAAAAAAAACCTCAACCACACAAAGGAAGCCAGGATCTGCAGCCAAGTCCTTTTCTTGTAATGTGAGGCCAGAAATAGTTTTGTCGACTCTAAATCAAAGGAATAAAGTTCAGCCCTTTGCCGTAAGATAAAATAACAACCTTCTGCAGCAATAATTTACAGCGCCTTTGCTGAAATGTTTTGTTAAAAAGCAGCACTTTTTACTTGGAATTATCTGAAGTAGTTTTGGAGTTCTGGACTCTGCTAAAGACGAAGGTGGAATGCAGGAGAAACGCACAGGGGGAAAGTTGCATCACACAACTTGATGGTGTAAACAACATGAGGTGGATACTGAAGAGGAGAGTAGTTTTAGAGCAGGACACTGGACAAGGACAGTACCAGATACGCTCCATCTTTCGGCTTTGGAAAAAAAAAGAATCCAGTATTTTCCTGGAACTGATGTATTTGTGAAATTCATAACATAAAATCATCATGAAATAGTGGTCATAGAATACTACCCAAACATTTGGCTTTGCTTTATTAACGAGGTTGAGACAACTCTGCTAAAAACTGCATGCCATATAATGTACAGAATATATATTATAGCTGGGTTCCAGAATTTCTTCACGTGCAAAATACTCACTGAGCTCTATGGGAGTTCTGCCAGCAATGAAGTATACAAGACTTGGATCATAAAATAAAGGATCTATTTTGATAAAATACAGCATGTTTGCTAGCACAGGGGGAAAAAAAAAAAGTCAACAATGGCTTGAAAAGGGTGGAGTGAATTAGAAAAGCAAAGGCAAAAAAAGCCCAGACCCAGCTCCTATAGATTTTTCAGCCTTGGTGAAAGGCTCCTTTTTTATCAGATCATCTCCCTTCAGGTCAGAAGTACTATTGTGTTTCTCACGGCTCCTCAAAATCGATTTTAGGATTAGAGCCTGTATTTACAACTTGTTTGAAATAAGCCCCAGGTTGCAGTAGTCAAAGCTTCTCACACACACATTCCCTTAACCTCTGCCTCCCTCTGAAGATCAGAATACCAGTTATGCCCTGATTTCATAGCTTCCATTATGCCCTAATAAATACTTTCCCCAAAAACTTTGGGAAATGGAAGAAGGCAGGAGGGATCACACGATACACACGAGCACACAAAGTCACACAATGAGATCCCAGAAGAGCTGTGGCAGAAGGTAACATGCCCATGGAATTTATTTGATCTCAGACCTCGTTAGGCAGCCTGTTTTTAATTAGCAAGCAACAGCCTCCCCCTAGCTCCAAGCCTGCACACAGCAGGCACGACTGGGCTGCATAAATCCAGTCGCCCACCCAGATCTGGCACGGGAGGTCATGTTGCACGAGAGACCCTAGAGCTACCTGCACGTGGGGGACAGGGTCAGACGTGCCAGTGCCCCACTCAACACTCAAGGGTAGGCACCTCTGACCCCACTGCAGCATTTGCACGCTGGTCGTTGCAGTATTATGGTTAATGCATAAGTCGTCAATCAAAACAGGGAAAAAAGAAAGAAAGATTAGAGCCGCCAACCGAACGTAGTCTGTCACCACTGCCTGAAAAGGAACATGGAAAACCGTGTAACGTAATCAAAAAATGACAACAAACCGAATGGAGCTTTGCAATTCTTTTAGACCTGCCAACTTCAGCTTTCACTTGTTAAACTCAAAGCAAACATCCTTTTAACTTGGAGACACACCTAACTGTTGCATGTGCTTCCTATCAGTAAACAGCTAAACTGAGTATTACGGCAGCAATTACTTCAAACCTGCTGTCTGATCTTGTAGCCCGCATTATACCTTGTTAGAGACACAAAATTGGCTCCACGCTGCTACTCCATGTCTCAAGAACTGGCAGCCCTGGAAACCTGTACCGGCTAATTAACCAGATTATTTATGGTACAGTACATGTCAGAAGGGAATTACCAGCACGATACAATTATAAACTCTTCTTTAACCATGTGCTGCAGTTTTCTGCTCTCTTCTGTATCATTCTAATTGGATCCAGCTCCTGCTGAGAGCTTGGCTGTCCACACCCAGTCAGAACAGGTCAGAGAGAGAGTGATACATCCTGCTTTTCACTAAACCACCAACCCCACTATCAACATCCAGGTGTGGCTTCAAGCAGGCTAGACCACTGTCACAGGCACTTGTCTATCCCTTGGAGAAGATTAGAGTGAAAAAGGAGGTTGAAATAGATGATTCAGACACAAAAAGGCACATAGGGGAAGCAAGGGGAGGCGGCAATGGGGACTAGGTCTAAGCAACCTCCGGACTGCCAGCGTTTTCAACAGAAGCACACAGAAATTGCTCTTCTGCCAGGGCATCTATCTCAGTTGTGCTTCTGTCAGGCAAATAAGGTGTTTATCATAAAAGCCAAGAGGAGTTTTTTTACGAAATAATTGCAAGTATGGAGACCCTCCTTTCCCATTAACCCTCTCTTGATTGCCCAAAGAAGACAACGACTCAGACATAGCCACTACTCTGCAAACTGCTAAAATGTGTTACTAAACCTGAAAGACAGACCTTTTAAACATCAAATTTACCCTAATTCTTTTTAATTTTACTATTCCCCCCTCCTCCCCCTCCATTCTGCATGCAGCTTAGATAAAAAGGGGAAGACAGCAGCTGAATACTAGGAAGAAAAATGCAACTAAAACATGTACACGGAACGATTTTTAGCAGGATTACACGGAGAGCAGGATGAGACCATGTCAGGAGTAAAGACAAGCGCAGGCTTAAGCCTCCCTAGATGGGAAGGGAGGCTCAGCTTCCAGGCAGGCTCATGGGCTGCCACTTACAGCGCTGCAACGGGAGGTTTTGAACCCAAAGGCAGTTTTCTAATAGTTTTTAGCACACATTAGCGCTGCCCATTTTTCACAGCACTTAATGCCTCAGGTTTGACCAAACCGCATACCTTTTCAGACTGGTCTCAAGCCAAAATGGCATTCATTATGTTATTTAGCTATGTTCAAAACCAGAACTGTTCTTCTACGAGGCAAAAAGGAAGGAAAAAGGATTACCAACAGAAAGTGCCAAAAAGAGCTAACAGAACAAATGCTTTACAGTACTTACACTTCCAGCCCACAGCTCCGTTGATTTTCCTATTAGTTTGTAATATACGTACACAGCTTCTCCCTTCTTAAAATTTACAAAGCGACAATCTGGACCTTTAAAATCTTGTATTGCCTTCCCTCGGCACATTAACACTGCCCAAAGAACACAAAAAGCAGAGTATTACTTTAAAAATAATAATAAAACAGTTTCACAAAGGGGGTCTTTGGTAACTGGCAGAAAACAAGACTTCTCCACATGCACCGGTTCCCTATTTTCCAGATTAGGTCAAGAGATAAGAAATTGAAGAGACTATTAAAAAAACTGCGTAAACTCACTGATCAAGATGAGCTTGAGAATTACATCTCAGAAGTGCATTATAAAGCTAATTATTAATATTAAATTAGACGGGCTGAAAGATTACATGTGTCCCAGCGAATCAGCCCTGAAATTATTCAGCGCATAACCACCACCCAGAGAGAGGGTTTACTACAAGAAAAAAGGGTT